CGACGCCTCCCGACGCTCCCTCCCATAGAGAATGAATGACTTCCGGTCGCTTTGACGCTCTCGCCGCTCGCAGTGTGAACGTAGCATTAGAGCCGGATCGGGGCTCCGCGGGGCGCCTCGGACCCCGGCCGCTTTGTCAGCAGCGTGCCGCCGCACCGCCTTTTGCGCACTGATGCCCGAGGCGTCCTCGGTGGACCTTGGCGCGCCTCAGACAGCTGGCGAAGCTGCCGGGGAACCGAGATGGCTGCCTGCACCATGCCAGGCTGGGTGCCTTCGGAGATCTGAATTAGCGCCAGATCAGCTCAGAAATAACGGTATTCGCAGTAAACCGCTCGGCGGCGCATTTTCCTTTATGCCCCTTGTTGGCTTATAAAGGTGTCGTAATGAAGGACAGAATATAACGGCTGTCAGTAGCTGCTGAAACATAATACCGGTCGGACAGAGTGACATAATTTACACGCTGAGGCGCTGAGGTCTGACAAATTACAGATCACAATTAATTTTTTTCACGATCGTAGCTAATGTTGTTTTCTTGACACCACAAGTAATTTTCTTGAGAGCACAATATAACAAAAGTTATCTCAAGAAAACAAAAGTTATAATTAGGCATAAAAAGCATCTGCAAGAGCGAGAGGGAAGCGGAATCCACTGAAAATGCCGCGGTTAATGCAATTCAATCTGATTCAAAATTTCAAGCCCTGAATGCAAGTTTTTTTTATGGATTTTTGTAGCATCAGCATTTAAGGAATTATTACTTTAAAAAGTAACAGCAGCAGTTAAACTGTATTTCACAATATTAGGGTTAAACTCTGCAATTAATTCACGATCCGCATCCATGTCACACCATGAGGGGGTCAGGTATGATCTGTTACACCACGACTAAGTATGTTACAGTATGTTATCTGAGGCCACTTTTACATGTCATTCCCCCATCCATCCACCACAGAAGGCAGAGGCATGACAACATTATCATGTTTCTATGTTGATAGGCTTTGTTTTCATATATTGATTTGTTCTTCCACTATTGGTTTTTCTCAAAAATCACACAAGGTATCATGGGAACTAGGAGAAATGCATTGGATCAAATTGGATGAAAAATAAAATAAGCTTTAGAGCCGCTGACACGCTTGCGCCATGCAGCGAGGCATTGTGGGATTGGCGTCCCTTAACAAGGAGAATGCTGATTCCAGCAGCTCACGGCTTTTGAAGTCGTCTCGCTGTGGCTAAAATAGTAATGGCAGTGTTCCCTCAGCAAGGCTGCACTCCAGCTAACTTACAGTTAACATTTTAAATGTCACTTTTTCTTGTTTTCTGTGGCTCCATAGACCTTTCACAGTTTCAATCCCCACACTATGTTTCACTCCTTGTACATTGCTCCCTTGTGCATTTGTATTCATAAGACTCACACCTTATCACACCTTTTTATCATAATAGCATCTAAGATTTACTGAGTGAAAAAGATAATTTCTCCACAAGTCATCACTGTTACATTTTAGGATGTACTATTGCAGAATCTCGGAAATCAGTCCTACATGCGAAATATCTGAGAGACTGGGCGCTCAGTGAGACCTCTGTGAGTCTGAACTGCGATGACACTCTGACTTGGAGAGATAGGCAGTGCTCAGTGCCAGTGTTCCACCCGGATGGCGTGTTGGGTCTGGTACACATGTATGGCTCACAGGGCACTGCTGACTGTTTGCACACTGTAACTTCCACCTCGGAAATGTCTGCTCAAGGGTTTTGCAGCTTCTTCTGGCTCATTTCCATCCTGACGTTTCACGCAGGCTGACCTGATGTTCAGTGATGCTGGGTCAGGAGATTGCATGTAAAGCAGCACATAAGAGTAACCAGTGTTGGGGGTGGGGGGGTCAGACATGAATCTTTTTGTGTGTGGCTGTACGCTTGCCCAGGAAGTGGGTGTGATTTTAGTGCCCTCTAGCAGTGGACCAATCAGCAGTCTCCATCACTATCACCTGTTCTTGGGAACCAGATTAAACCGCTGCATGTCCTTCTTTTCAGCATTGCCATTTAAGACGCTGAGGACTGAGTGATATCACAGCAGTGAAGAATGAAATGAAGCCCCTGTCAGAAATCGCTGTCACTCTGCGTAAAAACACTCAGACCTGAACTCCTGTCAGCTGTCGGGCTTCACAGAAACTGCAGCTCCTGCTTCCCATTCTCAATGGCAACCGCCAAGCCCTTACCAGTAGAGTCTGGAGTGATTACTGGTGAATGGTTAGAGTTTTCTCCGTATATTGATTTTTGGAGCAGCTAGGTCTAGTTGTTTGTGTATGCCTAAGAAGAAGGACCCTTGCTCTAAAATACATTAAATCCATTAAAAATCATTAGAAAGTCCAAGTGCATTGCAACACTTTGGTATTGTTCTGCTAAATAATGCCGTACTTTTAAAATGGGCGTCATGAAGGGCTTACAGTCATACTAAATACTGCATGTCACACTATGTAGGTGCGATGCTTGAGTAAGTTGAGTTAATCTTAACCTCATTGCCTTGTAGATCCAGTGTGCTGTAGAACCTCATTGCCATGTAGGTCCTTTGTGTGCTGCAGAACCTCATTGACTTGTAGATCCTGTGCGCTGTAGAACCACATTGTCATGTAGATCCTCAGTGTGCTGTAGCACCTCATTGCCTTGTAGATCCTCAGTGTGCTGTAGAACCTCATTGCCATGTAGATCCTCAGTGTGCTGTAGAACCTCATTGCCTTGTAGATCCTGTGTGCTGTAGAACCACATTGCCATGTAGATCCTCAGTGTGCTGTAGAACCACATTGCCATGTAGATCCTGTGTGCTGTAGAACCTCATTGCCATGTAGATCCTCAGTAGACATTAGAATTTTAGTGTTGAGTTAAACCTTGTCGCAGTGTTGATCCTGAGTCTGCAGTTGAACCTCATTATGTTGTCCTGAGGACCCTTAATGTACAGTACATTCATTGTTCTGTAAAACCTTGGCATGCTGTTGAGGGGGAACAAAGCCAGGAGGCTGTTTTCAACACTATCTGGCAACACTGTCTAGCCACAGAATGCATTTAAAATGCAGGACTGCTGCATGCATACTAACAGGCAGCTCTACATTTCAAAGGCCCGGCTGCAGTATCTACTGATTAGTAAAATCCACATTGACCTCACATGACATGTCTTCCCTTATCTGCGGCCATTTCAGACTCACTCTATCAGAGAGTTTAACACCACAAGCTTCACATTTAGCTAATCGGTTTAAATGTGCCCCCCCCCCCGCTCCCTGCTCTGAATATTCAGTTTTAAGGGTGGGGCTTCCCTCCTTTTCTCCTCACTGCTCCCTCACACTCCTCCTTCACCTACATTTAATTATAATTTATATTGCTCTGTGTGAAGCTCATTGGATAGGTAACAGCTGTAGTGGTCTATAAAGACCTGCAGCTGTGGTCTATATTGATTAACTGAGTATTTGTAACATTTGAACAATTTTGTTGAGATTCAACAATTCAGCTGTTTCGCTGTCTGTGGATGTACATACAGGATATAGAGTATATGTAATGATTCATAAACATACCTACTGTACATATTACTAGAATAATAGAATTTGACTATTCACTCAGCTGATATTATATGAACTGTTGACTCTTAACTAATAAGTTGGTGAAATGTCACAAATACTCTGTATCCCTTTGCAGGCGGACTATCCAAATAAAGTATTACCACAAAATATTTTGAATTATAACAGTATGCAAAGAAATGTTTTAGTGTTAAAGAAGAGACTAAATGTGGAGGAACAATGACGCCTACTGTCAGTAAGTCCTCACTACACTATATTTTATTTAATTAATATTTAATATTATATTTTAATTAATATTTTAATCCTTTTTGGCATGATAATTTGATATATCTAAGCTATAATATTCCTCAAACATATTCAACCCCCATCAATAAATTGATCTTTGTATTAAAATTATTAAGATGTGCCCCCCCCCCCATTGCGTACACGAGGAGAATGACGCTGAGATTGAAGGCAGCATTTAGGCCCTGCATACACTGTTTGTAGAACAGTATGTTGTTGCAGTCATTTGTGAGTCTAAGTAGTGAGTGTAAAATTCAAGGTTAGAGCTGGGTGGACATAGAGAACATTGTAAAATCCTGAGGGCATCACATGGCTCTTGTACAATAATGAGGGTCTCCAGAAGGTGGTGCTACATCTCCTGAACATCATGAGGCGAGAGGCGCTTTTGCTCCTCTTCCTGCTCAAGGCTGGTTCTCCAGTCTGTCTGCCACCCTGACAAGCCCATGGACCTTCGGATGGTCCGGATCCTGATGGCTGAAGGTCAAGGAGCACATTAGAAGGGAACAGAATGATAATAATTCAGATTAGATTATTCAGATTTTTCTGCAATCTTGCTCTGGTCCAGTGTGTCACCTTTGAAGTAAAGCTGGCCTGAGGTGAAAGGTCGTATTCAAGCATGGAGGATGGAGCAGATGCAGGTTTCATTTCACTGTTTCCATCGAGACGTCATAGAGGCATCTACAGGCTCATTTTCACTCCATTATTGCTCACTTAGCCCAAGGATGTGGAATTATACATCACTACAGCTTTTTTTCTTTTTCTTTTTTAACCGATTTTAAATTTATACTATCTATATTTAGCCACAATGACTGCTCTGATTGCTGTAACTGTAAAATGTTAAAGCACAGCTTCCTGTACTGTGATAAAAAAAGGCTTCCATACTGACAGTGACTCACTACTGTGACCCCAATAATGGAGCGCTCCTCAGTGACTCACTGCTGTGACCCTAATGATGGGGTGTTCCTCTCTGACTCACTATTGTGACCCTAATGATGCAGTGTTCATCTATAATTCACTATTGTGACCCTAATGATGTGATGTTCCTCTATAACTCACTACTGTGATACTAAAGATGGGGTGTTCCTCTATGACTCACTACTGTGACCCTAATGATGGGGCGTTCCTCAGTGAATCACTGCTGTGACCCTAATGATGGGGCGTTCCTAAATGACTCACTGCTGTGACCCTAATGATGGGGCGTTCCTCAGTGAATCACTGCTGTGACCCTAATGATGGGGCGTTCCTAAATGACTCACTGCTGTGACCCTAATGATGGGGCGTTCCTAAATGACTCACTGCTGTGACCCTAATGATGGGGCGTTCCTAAA